GGTCCAGGTGGGGGTCACAATCCTGCATCTGGCCCTGGACCAGTTGGTCCACGGGCAATATACCATAGGTCTTACAGACCAAAAGTCAGACAACCCAGTCTGATGATGAGAAAACTCAGGGCCATCGTGGCACTGCTGACCACTGTCTGTGGGCTTCAGACTCGACAATATGTGTCCTCCAACAGAGTGAACATCAGCAAGGCCAGGATGCCACCACCCCCTGAGCCAGGTAACCTGATCATCATGGAAATCTGAAAGCTTTGTAGGGGAGCACGTGTGAGTGCAGTGCTGTGGTGCAGTGGGCTCAGCCACTGCCTGCAACACCAGCATCCCAAAGGAGTGCTGGGTTGAGTCCCAGCTGCAGCACTTCCAACCCAGCTGACTGCTAATATACCTGGGAAGGCAGTAGAACATGGCTCAAGTACATGGCCATTTTGGGAAGCACTGGTGAAGTGCCAGGCCCTTGTCTGGCCAGCTACCATGTCATCTGTGGTGGCCATTTCAGGGTCAAATCAGCAGATGGAAGCTTCTTTTCAATTTCTTACTCCCCAAATCAACCTTTACACATAATTCATTTGTAACAGAAAGCAAAAGCACTTTGGGAGGTGACGCTGAGGTCACCCAGGTGCACAGCAGTACACATCGTTCCTGCTTTTTCCCTTCTTGGACCTGTACTGAGTACACCTGATCCTACCAGATGAACCAGCAATGGGAGGTGGAGGAAGCAAGCCTGCAAAATATATTATCCATTCATCCAGGATATGGACACTTTACCCCCTGATACTCTTCCACAGGAGGAAGCCATGGACATCTCTCCCCCTATACTCCCCAAGGAAAACATCACCCCCATATGTTCCCTGAAAAGAGAGAGCTATAAACAACTCATCCCTCTCTGCTCCCCTACAGGAAGAAGTCATGTACACCACTCCTCCATATACTCCACCTCGGGAGGAGGAGCCCATGGACACCACGCCCCCATAAGAACCATCTTCTTGGCTGGAACCGATAGACACCATGCCTCCGTATGAACCATTTTGGCCAGAACCTATGGACACCACACCCCGCTATGTACCATCTTGGCCAGAGCCCATGGACACCACATCCCCTTATGTATCATCCTGGCTGGAGCCCTGGACACCACAACGCCTTATGAACCATGTAGGCCAGAACCAATGGACACCCCACCCCCATATGAACCATCTTGGCCAGAGCCCATGGTCACCAAACTCACATAAGAACCATCTTGGGCAGATCCACACCTCCCCAAGTTCCACCACGGGAAGAGCCCAGGGATACCACAGTCCCAACATTCCACCATGGGAGGAGCCTATTGACCCACATCCTCCTTTGTTTCCCCCATGGGAGGAGTCCCTGGACACCACAACCTCCTAAGCTCCACCAAAGGAGGAGCCAATGGACACCACAATGCCATAGGCTCCTCCTCCAGAGTAGCACCTGGACACCACACCATCCTATGCTCCACCAAGGGAGGAACCAATGGTTACCACTATCCCATGGGCTCCTCCTCCAGAGGAGCCCATGGACACAACACCAACCTACACTCGCCCTCCAGAGGAGGCAATGGACCCTTCACCCCCTGTTTCCAGCATAGTCCATGGAAATGTCAACTGCATCTCCTGCCCTCTGTTTGCCTCCCACTGGTCCCAGGGGCAGTTTTATGCCTGGCCTTCCCACCTTTCCTTGCATCTTCATACCCAGTTTCCCAGCACCTATGGATATAGACCCTCCCGCGTGACCCTTCCTCCCTCCCCTCCAGGACATGGCACAACTCTGCCCCCAGGCAGCTCCTTTCATGGCCTCCAGCTGGCTCCTCGCCACACAAGAGTCTTATTTAATATTAAACACCATACTCGTTCTGTTTTTTGTGTCTGTGCTCTGTAGATCCAGTGTGAGAAATGCTGGCTTGTGTGAGTGCTGACAGGAGGTCAGATCCTAGGGGAAAATGTTCCTGTGGTGCAAGAAACAGGGGCTGGAGGGTTGGGGGCTAGGGAGTAGAAGGAGCCAAAGGCCATAATGACTCCTCCTGAGCAGAAAAGCTGTGGCTGATGGGCCGGCACCTGTGCCGGCATAGTGGGTGAAGCTGCGGCCTGCAGTGCTGGCATCCCATATGGGTACTGGTTCAAATCCTGGGAGCTCTACTTCTGATCCACCTCTCTGCTATGGCCTGGGAAAACAGTAGAAGATGGCCCAAGTCCTTGGGCCCCTCTACACACATGGGGCACCTGGAAGAAGCCTCTGGCTTCTGGCATTGGATCAGTAGAGCTCCAGCCTTAGGAGCCAACTGGAGAGTGAACCAGTGGATGGAAGAACTCTCTTTCCCTGCCTCTCCTTCTCTCTCTCTGTAACTCAGACTTTTCAATATATGAATAAATCTCTAAACGAAGGAAAAAAAAAGCTATGGCTGAACTTAAGGGATGGGGCCCAGGATCAATGAACCCAGGAAGGGAGGAGACAGGAAGGGTCATCCTGGCTATGGCAGCCACCACTTCTCACCTCCTCTCTGAGCTGCAATTGGCTGGATCTCCCCTCACACACACCAGCAGTCTACACTCTACACATTCACACCTGGTCCCTTAGGGAAATCTACACTCACAGCTCAGCCAGAAAGCACACATCTGGCATCGAAGCTCACAGGCCACGAAGAACAGAGGAAGAAAACTCATCGCCCCACAATAACCAAGGACAACCGTAACTCTAGGATGTCACTGATTCCCGGGTGATCTGATTGTCAACATGCGGAGATGTCCTCCTTGTTGCTCTTCCATTCAGATTAGGAAAGGGGAAGCAAAGAGACTATTTGCAGGGGAAACAAGCTAAGTTAGAGTCCCATTTTCCAAAAAAGGATTAATTGATTTATATCTTTTAACCCACAAGTACAAAGCATATCAATAGTCACTCCCAGCCATGCCACAAGACAAAAGCTGAACACCTGAAGTCACCAACTCATCTTGTATCCTACAGAAAAGTGAGGTCACTTGCAAAACACACCTTCAGAAATTGCCTTGACTGTCAGATGCAGAGAATCCCAGCTTAACTGAGCACAGGCCTCTGCTAGGGCTCAAATGTAGGTAGGGAACACAGACTGTAATAGGTCAACTGCTGGGGGCACAATGTGCACATGCTAGAGAGGAGAAAACTCCAGGGAGGGGGCAATCTTTTCTAAAAGAAGAGCTAACAAAGTTTTTAAAAACTTATTTTCATTTTATTTGTTAGGAGAGCTGCAGAAAGAGATGGAAACTGCCATACTCAGATCTTCCTTCCTATGGCCCACTTCCCACATGCTTGGAATGCTGTCGTCTTCCTTCTTGCTCTCTCTCACACAAATCAAACCCCAAACCATGCTGCATAACCTGGAAATCTCTAGGAAATACCAAGTCCCACATACATGCCAGTGCAGGTGCATCCTATCAATCTGTGGCCTGGACTTCTCAAGACATCAATCTCATCATAATCAAGTCAGGTCTAAGGAGATAGGCATTGCAGTACAATAGATTTGCCATCTGCTTGGGAAGCCCCCATTCCATATTGGATTTCCTGAGATAGAGTCCCACCATTGCTTCTGATCCAGCTTCCTGCACACGTGCACCCTGGGAGGCCCAGGTGATGACCTCAGTGCTTGGGTTCCTGTCATTCATGTGGGAGCACAGGATGGAGTTTCTGGCTTCAGTCAGGCCCAGTCCCACCTTTGTATTTGTATTAGCAGATAGAAGGTCTTGAGATCTCTCTCTCTCTCTCTCTCTCTCTCTCTCTGTGTGTGTGTGTGAGAGAGAGAGAGAGAGAGAGAGAGAGTGTGCATGTGAGTGGGTGTGTGTACATTTCAAAGTAGGAAATGGATTCTATAAGAAAAACATGAAGAGTCTGAGACTAAATTCTGGATGTAGTGTTGGTACAGAAAACAGACGTGGGTACAGCTAAGGAATTTGAATAAACTGTGGCCTTTAGTGAATAATAAAGCATCAGTTTAGGTCACTGATGGCAATGAACACACCACACTAAGGAAAGATGTCTATACGAGCTACTTCCAGCAGTTCCTTTATGAAGGGACTTCAAAAGGTCATGGAAAATGCATATTATGAGTAAACTGACACATGGACTTAAATTCTTTCTGCAACAAGGTGAATTCAGCTTTTCCCTCATTTCCTCCCCAAGGAGTCTGAAGTTTTCTCACCTGGTTTTACATTTTGATCTTTTGCTTGACACTGGGATGCCCATTCACCAAACCACCTTCAGGGCAAATATCTATCAAGACCGAGGCTGGACCTCTCAGGGCACTCCCTGAATTCCTTGTCACTGCACATGCATCCCACTCACAGGAATTACTACTGTGCTCAGAGGATTCAACCTTCTCTCTCATACTCCCTATTTTCTAGTCCCTGGAATAAAGACCTAAGGACTGAATGCTTTAAGCCTCGGACAACCGCACTGAATGATCCTGGGTACAGACATGGTGACATGTCAAAAACAAAGCACCACCCAGAAAAGCAAGGGCCTGGCTTCACCAGCAAGACACAGGGAGGTCTTAGCTCAGCCCTAAGCACTCGATTCTGTCCATCATCTAGAACAGGTTCGCACCTCTGCACATTTGTCCAAACTCACCTCTACCAGGGCCAACCACTGCTCTCCAGAGCACACAGGAAACAACCTGACAGCAGACAAGGGCCACACCTCAAGGCAGCTGTCATTCCTCAGCAGCTCCTTTATGTCAAGGCTTTGCCGGCAACACCACATTCAGTTCCTCCTCCCTCCAACCTCACTGACAGGAGGGTGCAGTTACAAGTTCAGCTGAAAGCTAAGAGTATGGATTGCAGACCCCCACCATGAGAGAGGTACTTGATGGGTCTGGGCCTCAGTGTCCAACATGTCAACTGGGGCTACTAACAGTCTCTGCAGTACAAACAGCTGCTGCCTGAGCTCTGCTGCTCCCATTGCTATTCCCATCCCATCCCCATTTGAAACAGGAAGGAAGGAGAGCTCCTAAGATCCCAGCTCATGGCTTCAGATCAGCCCAGCTCTCACAAGTTTAACCATTTGAGAAGGGAATCAATGGATGGAGCATCTCCAGTAGATGGAGTATCTTGAAAACAACCCCCCACCCCTTAATATTACTGTGCCTCTCAGATAAATAAATAAAATCTTTAGAAAGAGATCAAGATGCATCTTTTCTGTAGGTTCACCATGCAAATATCCACATCAGCCTGGTTGAAGCCAAGCCACAGCCAGCAGACAGGAAGGCACTCTGGGTCTCTTACCTGAATCACAGGCAACCAACAGCACCCAGTATCACCTGCTGCCTCCCAGGGTGCACATTAGAAGAAAATTAATCAGAAGTAGGACAGGAACTCAACCCCAGGCACTCTGACAAGGGATGTGCATGTCCCAAGCAGCATCGGGTGCTGTGCTGAAAACCTGCCTCTTCCAATATCTGTGAAGGTGACCGATTTTTCTTCAGTAAAGAAGTGTAAGCTGGCGCCACGGCTCACTAGGCTAATCTTCCACCTTGCTGTGCCGGCACACCGGGTTCTAGTCCCGGGCGGGGCACCGGATTCTGTCCCGGTTGCCCCTCTTCCAGGCCATCTCTCTGCTGTGGCCAGGGAGTGCAGTGGAGGATGGCCCAAGTGCTTGGGCCCTGCACCCCATGGGAGACCAGGATAAGCACCTGGCTCCTGCCATCGGATCAGTGCGGTGTGTCTGCCGCAGCGCGCCGGCCGCAGCAGCCATTGGAGTGTGAACCAACAGCAAAAGGAACACCATTCTCTCTGTCTCACTCTCACTGTCCACTCTGCCTGTCATAAAAAAAGATTTATTAAAAAAAGAAGTGGAAGAACTGAGCTGGCACTGTGGCATAGTGAGGAAAGCTGCCACATGTGGTGCTGGCATCCCCTACGGGCACTGGTTCAACATCTGGCTGCTCTATTTCCAATGCAGCTCCCTGCTATTGCACCTGGGAAGGCAGCAGATGACAGTTCTGGTACTCGGGCCCCTGCACCCACATGGGAGACATGGAAGAAGCTCCTGGATTCAGAAAGGCACAATTCCAGCCATTGTGGCCATTTCAGGAGTGAACCAGTGGATGGGAGACTGGATTCTCTCTCTCATTCTCTAACTCTGCCTTTTAAATAAAGAAATAAATATATTTATCTATCTATCTATCTTTTAAAAAATACAAACTGGAAGACTCCATGGACATGGCCAAATTGCCAAGATCCTTAGTTATTAAGGAAAGTACTAAGTGTTTGTTTTATTACAAAAATGTCTGGAACTTAAACTACCTTCTATTGACAAAGTATATATTTTAGGTGTATCTTTAAATCCCACTGTCCTTGAATTCTAAATTTCCTCATATCACCAGCAGTGGAATTGCTAGGGGACATAACTACTCTATTATTCAGGGGACGATACTACACACATTTATCCACCTGTCTTTGTGCTACTTAGAACTATTCTTGCTGTGTGCATGGTTGTCAATCTCCTTCCTCCAGCTACCTTCTTAGTATGCCATTTCCTACATGGATCTTCTTTTTCTAGCACCGTATTACTGAGCTGATGTATTTCATACAGCAACACACACACACACACACACACACACACACACACACATGCATGTAAAGCTGGTGAAATCCTGATGGGGCTGAAGGATTTTTAGGGTCAATTTCTACAGAATCACCTGTGTGTTTCTGAAAACAAAGGAGCTGCCAAAGAGAGCAGAACACTCACCAACTCATCTAGCCTATAGAGCTGTCCAAAGCTGATGGAACCTCTGAAGAGAGCAATGAAGACAGAGATCAAAGGCATCTTCACTGGTCGTGGAAGGCACTGGAGAAAGGCAGAATGGGAGAAGCCATGACTCAACCCCATGGGCCAGTGACCCCTGCCCTGCCCCTCCCAGCCCCTTCTCTCCCCCTCCTCCACCTCCTTTGCTTTCCTCAAGATCTTGCACAGGATGTAGCTGCTTAGGTTCTTCACTGTGCCCTCAGCCTCACTGCTGCTCTCATCCACTTCAGCCTCTGCACTTCCAAGTTAGGCTGGGACCATGACATCTCAACATGGGACCCATGTCCTCTGTCATTGTCTGAGGGAGTCCACAGCCCTTTAGCAGCTCCACACACACCTAAATATCTTCTTCGCCTGAGCACTCGGGCCCTTCACTCTGAGAGAGAATTTACAGCATATTCTGACAGTCACAAGCTCCCAAGGGTAGTCAGTTATGTGCTATATCCTTACAATTGCCACAAAAAGGAGAAGTAGATGACTGTATAGTAAACAGCAGCTGAAAGCCCTCCAATTCTGCCCTCCAATAAATCAGTGAGAAACCAGGTAAAAACAGTCACCATTAACATTTTGTAAGTTTTTAATCTTTTGATTCAGTGGGAGAAATGCATAGGAGAGTGAGGGCCCTATCTAAAAAAGACAGAGAAATCTGGATTCATACCGAACACCACTAGCCACCATGTGGAGGAGTATGCAGGCCAGGAAGCATGGAGCAGATGGCCTGAAGACCACATGCCCAAAGGTGCAGGGGCAGCAAGACCATCCAGCACAAAAGGGAAAAGGGCCAAAAAGCCATTAGCATTTCAAGAATCCTGGAAACTAACCCAACGTCTGCAGGAACCCAGGCAGTACCGAGCACAGAAAAACAAAGCACAGCTGACTCTCAGGAAGAACAGGGGGTTGGTGGCAGTCCGAGTACAACCTGCTGCTCTGCAGTTCCACAGGAACACAGAAAACGGAAGCCCACATTCATGGTGAAAACCAGCAGTGGGCAGCCACTGCCGGGAGCACAAGCAGTCTGTGGCTTCCCCAAAGCCTTATTCATAGAGAATGAGCACTCTCTGAGGAGTCTGCTGCCTTCGGGAAGAACCCACTTTCTAGGCTGAACTTGACCTGACCTTGAGCTTGTCCAAGGTGATAAGTACAATGGTCCCCAGCAAAACTCTCAAAACTATCACAGCCACTGCTTAACTTTGTGGATACTCTAAGTAGTTAACAACTCCCTTAGAGAAAGGACAAACTAACCCAACAATATTGCAGGAGAGCTAAGTCATGAGTGTCTGTAGGGGACTCAGGAAGCTCTGGCACACTCCTGGGAATCTAGATATGCACAGGTGCACCCTTCTCTGATGAGAGAGGCTCGAGGTGCTGGACTTCTCACACACACAAGGACTAATGCCAAACCTCTTGCTCCTCCTGGGGTACTAGAATCTACCCATGGGCTGGGAAGAAGGCACCACTGAACAGCCTGGGCAATCAGACTCTGAGACTTTGTCTGGCAAATGTCACTCTTGTTGTCACAACTTGTTCTGAGTCCAGGGGGGCCTCCACAGGAAGCACTGACCCTGGGAGTGCTCAGGATCAGGATCTCCCAACACAAGCAGAATCACCAAGAAAAGACTGCAGCCAGCTGACACTACCTCTGAGGAAGTACAGACATGGAACTCACTAGGCCCAGAGCACTCGGTGTTCACACTATACTCAAATTAGTGAAGGAATCTATGTGTTAAGCACTACAAACATCAAGAGAAGTGTTTCACAGGATAGGAAATAACAGGAAGGGAATATATCTTATGAGAGGAGTGACACAAGTTTCTGGAATTGAAAAGAACAACTGAGAACCCCCTGCAGGGGCCTGTACCAGCTTCCTCCAGTCACCATAGCTACTTACTGCCATCTGCCTGGCTTTAAAGGAAGGTTGCTCACAGTTCTGGAGGGCAGGGCCTGATGTCAGAGGCCTGCTGCTCCCTGCTCTATCTGAAGGCTCCAGCGTAGGGTCCTCCATGGGCTCTTCCTAGTTTCTGGCACTTGCTGCATCTTGGGTTGTTGCTTTGCAGCTGCAACTTCCCAGCCTCTGCCTGTGCCATCAGAGTCTTCTTCCTTCCACATCCACATTTGCCTGGAATGGAAGGACAACAGCAATGGATCAGGGCCCACTCTGACACAGGATGAGCTCATCATCCCTGACTCTACCTGTGAACACCTTATTTCCACAGAAAGCCTCCCACACAGACATTGAGCGCTAAGGCTTAAACGTTGCAGGACAAACTCCTCATACAATAGGATTTTGAACAGGCAAAAGAAACACCGATCCTGTGGATCAGACCCTGCAGATGGCCCAGTCCAATGAATAATAAGCAAACAATAGTTTCAGAGACCTGTGGGACACTATCAAGCATAACACATATTCATAAAGAGTCCAGAGAGACAGGGATATGAGACAGGGACAGCAAGAATATATGAATTGTGTCCCCAAATTGCCTAAACATTTTGAACAAGAATAATCAAAATATGCATGGGTGTTTGGCCAAGTCATAAATCAAACAGGACATCAATATCCAACAAAGAAATGGTTCAATTTGATTCCCTAGCTCTGTCTCCTGTTTCCAGCTTCCTGCTCCTATGAATATTGGGAGGCAGCAGTGAGGGTCCAAGTCGTTGGGCTCATTCCACACATGGGGAAAACTTGGATTGGGAACCCAGTTCCCAGCTGTGATCTTACAGTTGTAGAAAGTACTTCAGAGGAGTCAATCAGCAGCTGGAATATCTCTCATGCCTCTATCGCTGACACATCATAGGATGCAAAAATATACATGGAGTTCAATGAACTGCACTAGTAGAAATTCACATCCTAGTAAGTTGGAAGGCAAAGACAAAGACATGCAAGGGCCTCCAGAATGAATTGTCATGCACAAAGTATCTCTGAGAAGATGAACACTGGTATGGCTGTAATCCATTTTTAAAAAGTATAGCTAGTAATGTTGTGGAATTTAAACATCACACTTTATTCTGCAAATCCCTCACAAGTTTTTTTTAATTTGTTTTATTTATTTGACAGGTAGAGTTACAGAAAGTAAGAGAGAGACAGAGAGAAAGGTCTTCCTTTCATTGGTTCACTCCCCAAATACTGCTACAGCTGGAACTGTGCCTATCCAAAGCCAGGAGCCAGGTGCTTCTTCCTGGTCTCCCACATGGGTGCAGGGGCCCAAGCACTTGAGCCATCCTCCACTGCCTTCCTGGGCCACAGCAGAGAGCTGGACTGGAAGAGGAGCAGCCAGGAATAGAACCGGCGCCCATATGGCATGCCGGCACTGCAGGTGGAAGATTAACCAAGTGAGCCACAGTGCCGGCCCCTCCCTTAAAAGTTTGACTTCCTCAGAAAAGTTCAGAGTGTCAGTATACATAGTAGCCAAATGTGTAAGTGACCCATTTACCCAGCATGTGATAAATGAAAAGTATTAATATGTTTCATTCACACAGTAGATATTACTCAGCCATAAAAGGATCAGGTGTGGATATATGCTACAATATGGATGAACCTTGGATATATTTTGCTTATTGAAAGAAAACAGACATAAAAGTGACCCTCTATCTCCATGATATGGCCAGAAGTGAAAATAAATCCACAGCGACAGGAGGTAGATAAGGGTTACCAAGGCAAGGCAGGTGGAGAGAATGAGGTTCTCTGACAAGGAGTATGGTGTTTCCCTTTGAGATGATGAGAAAAGTACAGAAATTACAAGACAGGAAAACCTGAATATACCAAGACCCAGTGAACAGTATGCTTTGTTTATTTTTAAAGATTTATATACTTGAAAGGCAGAGTGATGGGGAGTGGGGGATGATAGGGAGATCTATCCACTGGTTCAGTCCCCTCAGATGACTGTAATAGCCAGGACAGGGCCAGCCTGAAACCACAAGCCAGGAGCTTCCTCCAGATCTTTCATGTGGGTGGCAGAAGACCAAGCGCGTGGGCCATCTCCCACTGTTTCCCCAGAAGCATTGGCATGGAGCTGGATCAGAAGTGGAGCAGCCAAGGGGCTTCCATAGCCTAGACAGCTCATAGCAAGAGTCTCGGGTGATTGCTGATATATACAGAACTTTCAATCCTACAGCTAAAGATTTTACATTCTTCTCAGCAGTACATGGAACCTTCTCTAGGATTGACCACATACTAGGCCATAAAGCAAGTCTCAGCAAATTCAAAAGAATTAGAATCATACCATGCAGCTTCTCAGACCATAAAGGAATGAAGTTGGAAATTAGCAACTCAGGAATCCCTAGAGCATACGCAAACACATGGAGATTGAACAACATGCTCCTGAATGAACAATGGGTCATAGAAGAAATTAAAAGAGAAATCAAAAATTTTCTGGAAGTAAATGAGGATAACAGCACAACATACCAAAACTTATGGGATGCAGCAAAAGCAGTGTTAAGAGGAAAGTTTATATCAATAGGTGCCTACGTCAAGAAATTTGAAAGGCACCAAATAGATGAGCTTTCAATTCACCTCAAGGATCTAGAAAACCTACAGCAAACCAGACCCAAATCTAGTAGGAGAAGAGAAATAATTAAAATCAGAGAAGAAATCAACAGGATTGAATCCAAAAAAACCTTACAAAAAATCAGGCAAACGAGGAGCTGGTTTTTTGAAAAAATAAACAAAAGTGACACCCCATTGGCCCAACTAACTAAAAAAAGAAGAGAAAAGACCCAAATCAATAAAATCAGAGATGAAAAAGGAAATGTAACAACAGACACCACGGAAATAAAAAGAATCATCAGAAATTACTACAAGGACTTGTATGCCAGCAAACAGGGAAACCTATCAGAAATGGATAGATTCCTGGACACATGCAACCTACCTAAATTGAACCAGGAAGACATCGAAAACCTAAACAGACCCATAACTGAGACAGAAATTGAAACAGTAATAAAGGCCCTCCCAACAAACAAAAGCCCAGGACCAGATGCATTCACTGCTGAATTCTACCAGACATTTAAAGAAGAACTAACTCCAATTCTTCTCAAACTATTCAGAACAATCGAAGAAGAGGGAATCCTCCCAAATTCTTTCTATGAAGCCAGCATCACCTTAATTCCTAAGCCAGAGAAAGATGCAGCACTGAAAGAGAATTACAGACCAATATCCCTGATGAACATAGATGCAAAAATCCTCAATAAAATTCTCGCCAATAGAATGCAACAACACATCAGAAAGATCATCCACCCAGACCAAGTGGGATTTATCCCTGGTATGCAGGGATGGTTTAATGTGCGCAAGACAATCAATGTAATACACCACATTAACAGACTGCAGAAGAAAAACCATATGATTATCTCAATAGATGCAGAGAAAGCATTCGATAAACTACAACACCCGTTCATGATGAAAACCCTAAGCAAACTGGGTTTGGAAGGAACATTCCTTAATACAATCAAAGCAATCTATGAAAAACCCACAGCCAACATCCTATTGAATGGGGAAAAGTTGGAAGCATTTCCACTGAGATCTGGTACCAGACAGGGATGCCCACTCTCACCACTGCTATTTAACATAGTTCTGGAGGTTCTAGCCAGAGCTATTAGGCAAGAAAAAGAAATTAAAGGGATACAAATTGAGAAGGAAGAACTCAAACCATCCCTCTTTGCAGATGACATGATTCTTTAGGGGACCCAAAGAACTCTACTAAGAGACTATTGGAACTCATAGAAGAGTTTGTCAAAGTAGCAGGGTATAAAATCAATGCACAAAAATCAACAGCCTTTGTATACACAGACAATCCCATGGCTGAGGAAGAACTTCTAAGATCAATCCCATTCACAATAGCTACAAAAACAATCACATACCTTGGAATAAATTTAACCAAGGACGTTAAAGATCTCTACGATCAGAATTACAAAATCTTAAAGAAAGAAATAGAAGAGGATACCAAAAAATGGAAAAATCTTCCATGCTCAGGGATTGGAAGAATCAATATCATCAAAATGTCCATTCTCCCAAAAGCAATTTATAGATTCAATGCAATCCCAATCAAGATACCAAAAACATTCTTCTCAGATCTAGAAAAAATGGTGCTGAAATTTATATGGAGGACCAAGAGACCTCGAATAGCTAAAGCAATCTTGTACAACAAAAACAAAGCCAGAGGCATCACAATACCAGATTTCAGGACATACTACAGGGCAGTTGTAATCAAAACAGCATGGTACTGGTACAGAAACAGATGGATAGACCAATGGAACAGAATTGAAACACCAGAAATCAACCCAAACATCTACAGCCAACTTATATTTGATCAAGGATCTAAAACTAATTCCTGGAGCAAGGACAGTCTATTCAATAAATGGTGCTGGGAAAATTGGATTTCCACGTGCAGAATCATGAAGCAAGACCCCTACCTTACACCTTACACAAAAATCCACTCAACATGGATTAAAGACCTAAATCTACGTCCTGACACCATTAAGTTATTAGAGAACATTGGAGAAACCCTTCAATATATTGGCAAGGCAAAGAATTTCTGGAAAAGACCCGGGAGGCACAGGCAGTCAAAGCCAAAATCAACTATTGGGATTGCATCAAATTGAGAAGTTTCTGTACTGCAAAAGAAACAGTCAGGAAAGTGAAGAGGCAACCGACAGAATGGGAAAAAATATTTGCAAACTATGCAACAGATAAAGGGTTAATAACCAGAATCTACAAAGAGATCAAGAAACTCCACAAAAACAAAACCAACAACCCACTTAAGAGATGGGCCAAGGACCTCAACAGACATTTTTCAAAGGAGGAAATCCAAATGGCCAACAGGCACATGAAAAAATGTTCAAGGTCACTAGCAATCAGGGAAATGCAAATCAAAACCACAATGAGGTTTCACCTCACCCCGGTTAGAATGGCTCACATACAGAAATCTACCAACAACAGATGCTGTCGAAGATGTGGGGAAAAAGGGACACTAACCCACTGTTGGTGGGAATGCAAACTGGTCAAGCCACTATGGAAGTCAGTCTGGAGATTCCTCAGAAACCTGAATATAACCCTACCGTTCGACCCAGCCATCCCACTCCTTGGAATTTACCCAAAGGAATTTAAATTGGCAAACAAAATGCGGT